GTGCCGCCCTGCCCAGAGCCACTTTTATGCCATTGTGCCTTTTCAGCATTGCATTAAGGCAGCCAAAGAAGGGGGATTTTTAATGGTTCCAGGGGAACAAAGCGGGAACATTCGGCCCAACTTCATTACAGAATCATCTGAAACGCTTGAGGAATGTTTCCCACTAATTATCATAAATAGCCGAAAAAAATCTTTCCCTCCCAAAGCAGGTTCCAGCTGCCCCTCTGTGTTTTCTCACCTCCACTTCCAATAGCCTGACCCTGCCCCCGCACAAAGGGGAGACCCCATCTCCGCTCCCTCCACACTCGGGGGCTCTGAAGAAATACAAACAGGCAGCAGATTAACAGCACTTGTTTGCACCTTAAACAAACAGGCGACTTCCGCCCCTCTGCGCTCCCCCGCTGCCCAAGGGAGGATGCGCCGCTGGTTTTCCTTGCCCTTGTTCTCGTGCCCTGCCCAAATCCTGGATAAAATCATGGGCAGCACACGGCATGAAGCAGGCGGACCAAGGATGGGAATGCCAGGAGTGCCAGCCCTGCACCCCCTTGAGCCTTGTCCCCCATGCCTGGGTGTCCTCTCGCTGCCCCAGCTGTCCTGGGGGAGGTCGGGCCACTGCCCTGGTGGGACGTGGCTGCAGCCCTTTTGCAGGAGGGCTGGGAGACGCCAAGGCCAAAGCAGACAAACGAATATCCCAGTTCAGCTCCTGCCCTGTGCGTGTCACAGGGCTTCTCGCAGCCTGAGGTGGCTGGACAGGTGCCGTGGGTGGGCGCGGGGAGGGATGCTGCGGGTGAAGGATGGGGAGGGAGAGATAGACCATCCAGAGGATTCATGGAGGAGTGGTGCTGGTGTTCAAAACCATCACCGGCAGCAACATTGAGCAATGACTGCCAGCCCACGGTCACCTCTGCTGAGCACAATAGGGAATGGATGGGTGCTGGACATGCCTGCCTGGCCAGTCCTTAGGCTGATCCCAGCAGCCACAGTTGCCTCTGCCAGGGAGCTGCCCCAGCTTGAGTCCTCACCCTGCAGGTCCCACGTCCCCTGTCCCACCTCTCCGGGCAGCACAGCCAGCACCTCCCTGCTCCTACGGGACCCAGTGCCAAACCAGTCCCTTCTCACCCTGCCCGCAACACACGGAGCACCCAGCCTCCAGCCCTCCCACACCACCGGGACAGGCGGTCACGAGAGATGTGATGTGGGGGCTCAAACCACACCAGCAGCCGGCGAGATGCCGCTCTCAGCACAGCTACAGCACATGTTTGGGGATGGCACACGAGGTGGGCACCCAAGGAGGAAGCTGTGGCAGCGCAGCCATGGGCTGGGGCAGGTTCCCAGCAGCAAGTCAGCAGTGGGACTTGCCCACCAGAGGCCCAGGTTTGCTCCCCGCCTGGGTTATTGTGCAAATCCCCCCATGCAGGTGTTCGTTGCCCCCCTTCCCACCAGCCACAAAAAAGGGCTGTCGCTCGCGAGCCCCTTTCCTGCCCACGGGGCGCCTCGGGGACAGGAAGGGAACCGGAGGCAGGTGGCAGGGACAGGCCACCGCATCTGCAGCGCGGAGGGCTCCCGGCGGGGCTGATGGGCAGAGGGGTTACAGGTCGGTACTGCAGCACGGGTGACAGGGCTGTGGGAACCACGCCTGGTCTGCACAGGGCAGGATGAGAGCCAGTGGTGGCTGTGGGGTTCCCAGGCCATGCTGGAGACCTCCCTGGTCCCAGCATCGCTCAAGGACACGCACGCACCGTGTCCTGTCTCTGTTCCTAACTGGCTGTTC